AATTTATAGAATATTGTAAAAATATATATATATATATATATATAGATAGATAGAAAGAAAAATTTGAAACCACAAACCAATAATCTTTCCATATTTTTTGAAAATATTTTCAACATCCTCTTTTGTAACTGAGCCATCAGTTGGCATATTGCCTATGTAAATCCTGGAGGCAATCATTTTCGGATCTTTGCTGTTAGTCCCGATGTAATCACTCTTCTTGTAATCTTTATCTCTCTGTCGACTGCCACTCCTACGCCTGCTTCTATTATTTCTCGATCTACTACGAGTACTACTGCGTCTGCGATGTTTGTGTCCTCTGGAAGAAGATCTGCTACTTCCACTGCTTCGACTTCTGCTACTGCTGCTGCTTGAACTGCTGATGGTGATTCGGTGACGAATGTGATCTCTTTTTCTATCCATATCCTGATTTGCAATAACTGGTGGTTAGGGTTATTCTAATTATTCCAAAAGCAAATTAATAAGATAAAACTAACAATCGAATGCTAAGCCAACCTTTTATTTAGTGATCAAATGTTACAGCAAACTGTAAAAAATAAAATTGAGAGATTAAAATTTTAAACAATAAAATGCATACATAACATAGCAAGTTCTGCATGCTATCTTATATTAACATTGTTAAACAGTATATATGCAATGATTTAGATTTTTCTATTAAAAGAATAGAATTTGAATACTTTAAGTTCACTTACACCAAGATATGACTGTTGGGGACAAAAAAATACATAAAAAATACTATTTTCCGAAACTACAAAATTATTTTAATATTTGTTGAAATCTCTAAAAAAACTAACACACAGCGCAAGTAAACATGGTCTTTTAGATTTAAATAAAATATTAAATAAATTTAACTAAAGTTGAACATTTAAAACTTTTTAAGTTTGAGAAAAGTTTGAAGAAAATAAAAATTCGTTTTAGTAGTACGAGATACTACGATGAATGAATGATCCGACTGAATAAATGATCGACTTGCTTGCTTGCGAGAGGGCATCCAATCCCGAAATATAAAATTTTAAAAGAAAACGGAATAAACCAAAATCATTTTATAACCGGTCGTATCGCCAACATTCGCATAAACATTACCTTCGAAGAACGTTTAATATTTATTACATTTTGTTAATTTCAATAAATAAAATTTGTCCAAGTGTCAACAAGTCAAACGAAGCTGCATTCTTTTCATGTTTTGCTTGCAGAAGATCAGGACAGAAACAAAACTAGAAAACAGATAATCATTTCATTGAAAAAACAAATAAAAACAGTTAAAAATAAAAATTTGAATGTCCAACGTACCAAATAATTGTTTAATCGATCGAATGTTCAAATAATTTTCAATTTTGGCTATCGTACACGGTTATCCATATAAAAAATTAATTGCCGGCCATCTTTATCGAGCTTAAGCAAAGAAAAATAAACTAAATATGAACTAAAATATAGAGAACCAAAGACATCTGATCCTAAGACTAGCACACGGCCAAAACCAACGTAACAAACGCGACAAATCTAACAAATCATTCGGTGGGCTCAGATGATTTGCTAACAGTGCGATCAACTGATTCCGCTAAGACATCAGAGTCCTCCTCTTCCTCCTCCTCATCTACTTCCTCCTCGTTGTCTTCTTCCGGGGGTTTGTGGGCCCTGAACCAGGCATCTTCTTCACGGACAGTGGGGTCGGAAATCTCGGACAACTCGTCACTGTCCGCAAGATGGTACTCAATCTGGAGGTCGAACGGATCAGGTGGATTGTAACCCGACATACCAAATTTTTGTCCCCAGCCAATGTACACGTTTTCAAATATTCTGAAAATATTTCTCGCGATAATAATGATTTGACTAAAATAAAACAATACTTGAATATCTACAGAACGTAGGAACATTTAATCAAAGTTAACTGACGATAAAATGGAAAATCAGTGATGCTTATCAACTGCTTCTATATAAGCATAAACAGACTGAAACAAGGTACCACAACCATAAAACTAACTTATTATTGGCTACAGCATAAGCTCCAGGCCAGATATTAGATTGAAGGACAGCGCATGCGTACTGCGGCAAAAGTTTTGACGATAACTTGACTGACCAGGCCGGCTGTCCGTCATATTCACTATCTTCTGAAAGCGGACTCAACAGAGGGGGTCCAACTTCCGGTTCCATCTGATCATCTTCTTCGTCGTCATCTTTAATCTCTTCTTCTTCCTCTTCCTCCTCAATTTCTTCTTCATCTGTTTTTCTACCTGTATAAATATATATCATGTAAACAACGAGCCACCAGTGAAGATAGAGAGCTTACTTTTTAAGAACTTAGCATAGCTCTCCTTGATAATCTTGTCAACAGCTTTCCTGTGCATGGCGTACCTCCTCTTAACATCACTCAAACTCACTGTCGGATCCCACCATTTTGTTCGGCCCTGTCCGTGGGATGGTTTAGGTCAGGGTTAGGATGAAGAATGATAGCATGTAGAAAGTAACGAGAGAAGATGGCCAGTCAGCTAGAGGTAGCAGACACAAACATACTTGATCCAGTATGTAGGGAGCATGATGAACCCAGCCATCGAGTGTGGGATCTGCCAACTCCTGAACAGTCAGTGGCTCGTAGTCCGAGTTTTCCACGACCCTGCCAGTGCTTCCTGCTTCCTGATCCTCCAGTTCCTCTTCTTCCGCATCCTCTTCATCTATCTGATAAAATCCTAATTTTGCGGTGGTTATTGTAGAAGATAAACACTATAAAACACGACCTAACTTTCGTCTTAGCCATCTTCCTTGACATGCAAAACAACACTGTCAGCATGATGATGATGATGAAGATGAGAAAATGATGATGACGAGAAAGAAGATGATGACGACCTGTTGGTGAGACTTGAGTGGCCGACGATATCCTGGCGATGGTGGCTCTCAGCAGATGCTTCTCCCTGCCAGGGAACAATGGATTCGAGTGCACCTTCGCGTTGTTAACGAACAAATTAATGAGGCAGTTGTTGCCATCTTATTGATGATGCTATTAATGTTTCAATATCAATAAACAACCGATACACATCAACAGCAACGATGAATGACATCAACAGCAACAACGACATCAACAACGTAATCAACAGCAACCACAAAACACGCACTGGAGCCTCTAAATCACCGGTGAGGTATTTTTTAATCTTCTTAGCGGTGACAACCTGGCTTGGAGTGGCATTAGGCAGTCGAACCCAGGCCATTCCTGGTTCCGAGCAGACGAAATATGACTTCAAGTTTATGCCGGATCTCGGCTTTTCGGGAGGTGTTGGTGTCGGTTTAATGAAAAATGGTTCTGGAAGAGGCGGGTATGTGGGAGCCAGCGACTGTTCATTTTTGTTGTGTTCATTTGTTTTGTTGTTAAATTAATTGTTGATTCATTTGTTGTGGTTATCACCGTTGTTAACGTGTCACTTGATGTCATGAGAAAGATGATGGAATTGTGGATGTAATAAGTTTAAAAAGTGACGAGAAAGAAGCAAATTAAAGGTAAATTCCAACTCTACAGACAACGATTAAATAGAGACAACATAAACAAGATATATATTTATATTTTATATATTCGTATATATATATATATATGTGTGTAAAAAACAAGAACAGAAGACCTCTTCTAAAATATCGGCGGTCAACTTCCTGACGTAGGTCGTATCAACAAAGTGATCACCCATCTCGTTGGGAGTCAGCTGCTGAAGTTGTTGCTGCAGTTGCTGCAGCTTTAATTCCTGCTGTTTTTGTTGGTGCAACAAATCCAGTTGCTGTTGCGGAGAGAGTTGCTGCAACTGTTGCATCTTCTCTATCATCTTCTGCTGCTGATTCTGAAACCGATTAGCTGGAGTATCTTCAACTGTAAAGAAGATGACGGAGATGATGATGACGACGACGATGGAAAGGATGATGATGAAGATGAATGAGTCAAACATTCATCACTAAAGTACATACCAACTTTTTCCTCCTCCACTTTTTGAATTTCATCAAATTTCAAGATGGCTGACGTCGTGTCAGTTGGCATCAGTGTTGGTATCATCGCAGACGGCTTCAATACCTGCTTGCAATGGAGACGGTGGTGACGACGGTGACGATGAAGTGCCACAAAAATGAAGATGAAAAACCATCCAAACGAACGAACAAACGAACATTAGTAGATAAAGTATCAGCCTCTGTATCAGCATCATTCATCTCGTACACCTCCCTGGCATCAATCAGCACATCCCTACTGAACTGAACCTCGGCCACGATGTAGTTGCTTCTCAGGCCGAACAATTTGCCCCAAAATCGGATCTAAGCAGATTTTTTGATTAGTGGAAGGAGAGAGAAGAAAAAAAGTTAACAAAGACAAAGAGAGAGTGAGAAAGAAATAGAAAGGGCAAGATGAAGAGGGAGAATGAAAAAGTAAAAAGTAACGCTTAATTATAAGTTAAATAACGTGTGAGTACATGGCGAATTTCATATTTTCAAGCTGTTATATTAAAACATGTATATAATTTAATGAATCTTTAAGATATTTAACATACAGAAGCAACATTTCAAATTAATAAACAGAATGATTATAGAGGGCACCTTTTCAGCACCGGTGACCGTCAACGCCAGACGTTTTAGCGCCAACCAAATCCTTATCTGTTTAAATGTTTTAAAAAAATTTCGCCAATAAATTACTGCAACAATAAATCTACCTTCACATCAACCATTTAAACAACCAACCAGCCCACCAACCAACCAGCCAACTAACCAACCAGCCAACCAACCAACCATTTCTTGTCTGTTCAGCCCAATATCTGCCTGAAGGAAAATGTGATTGATGAGATGCAGGTTTGGAACTGTTGCCTCCATTTCAAATTCTATGGGCATCAATGAATTTGCCTCTATTCTTTGCTTAAAACAAATATACATTACATCTTCTTATTTTTAATTATTCCAAACTAAAACACTTGAAAACTTTCAAGTATTTACTTTGAACATTTTGTGTTGAATCTCAGCTAATGTCACTTCTTTTGACTTTGGTTTCTTTTCCAAAAATGTGTCTAATTTGTAAATGAATCGATTCCTTTTGGCTTCAAAACAAAATTCCTCAAAGTCTTCAAGAGGATTGAGAGGGTGCTTTTCAATTATTGAAGTTAATACGGTTGCCAGGTGGTCATATCTAAAATTATGAAAAATATAAATTAATAGTAAATAAAAAATAAATGAAAACATCAAAAATCAACTACTTACAAGTTCATGCCTGATTTAGTGCTGGCCGTCAATAAATAGGCCTTCGCATTCATGAAGTCTTTCTCGATCAGGGCGTCCGGACTTTGAGTCATGCCATAATTTTCCATAACGAACTCGTTCTCGGCAGAGTCGTAGATCGACATTTTGAAAGTTGATCGTATGAACTTTGCAAAAAATATGAAACAAAAATTCAATTATAAATTGAATGAAATAAGTTTAAGCGACTGTCATTCATTCAGAAAGTAGGAAAATAAGTTTCATCGAGTTGCAGTGAACAGTCGAAGAAGCTGTTGTCATGGCAATTATAAACTTCAAAGTTCTCTATTTTAGCCTAATAACGATTCTACACATTTGAAAATAATTCTTTTCAACAAATTATTAAAGTTATGTTTTAACTTTTGCGTGTTTTGCCCGATTACTAGCAAAATCATCTTATTACAAAAGTTAAAATTTTCACCGTTATTTTAAATAAAATTAAGTGCTACACTATTTAAAAATGTAAGATTCACTTTTAAACTCTTACTTCAAGTAAATGAGCACACTTTTAGGTCGGATAAATTCGTTGCCGATCAAAAGCAAAAATTTAAAAAAAAAGCGTGTTCAGATCGAAAATAATTTTCGCGATTGTTAGTTTGGCGTTAGGTTGAACGATGACTAAAAGCAAAAAAGCAAAAAGGGCTCAGAAGAAAGTGATTGATTTCAAGAAGCCGAAATTGAAAGTTGGTAGAAAGTTAAAAAAATTAAACGAAACTCTACCTGAAGTTAAAGTTAGGAAAATCCTAATCAAAAACCAGTTTGCGGTGAAGAAGATTGACCGTGATTTGTTGGCCCCTCTCGAACAGGTTCAAAAAAATTATCTGGAGTTTTGTTTGTTTGTCATTTAATAATTTATTTTTAAATCTTTATTATTTCTGACAGATTGATAGTTCTGTGGATGAAAAAGCATTGTCCCATTCAACACTATTGGAATTGTCCAAAAAAATATTGGTACAAAAATTGTTTCAAAATTCTCAGTCAAAATAAATTAATCATTAATTAAATTATAACAGCATAATAACAATGATTAAAATTTATCCTATCGTTGCTATTGTAGGCCACAATGAAACAGTGCTATAGCTCTGTGAAAGCCACAGAAAGAAAAGAACTGTTAGTCAGCATAAGAAATCTCATAGAGAGTTGCCATTATAAATTAGTGCTGCTGAACTATTTAGAAATAATTGAGGGCATATGTCCATTGATGGTCGATCTGCATTATGAAGTTAGATTAGAGGTTGGATACCATATTTTAATTTCATTCTTCTAGAGTCTAACTTAATTTTTCTTTATAAATATTTCAGTTATGTTGATGAAATTCAACGATACATTAGAGATATTTATAATGAACACTCAACTGTTTAATTGTAAGGTTCCAAAATTATTGAGAAGTGTTCTGAAGAGATACGTCACAGGTCGCTCATTGGATTCTGGTGAAGCAATCTGTAATCAATTAATTATTTTTTATCATTTCTTTCAATAATTATAATTATTAATCATATCTTGAAAATAAATTTATTTTAAAACAGCTACAGTAAACTTCACCAACTCAAATGTTCCGATCATTGCGGCAAGTACGTGTAGAGCTCTGGCAAATCCTAATTACTGCCTAGATGCACTATTGAACATCGAAGTTATAATTGATTTGTGTCCACTGTTGGCTGTCTCATCTTCAAGAAAATTGCTGAATGGCATGTTGATGCTGTGCTCTAAACAGATTTCAAACATTTCAACCAGTAGCACAGTAAACATTTTTTTCAAGTTTCTCAATTTTTACCATTTACATTTTCAAACTATTCTTAAAAATAATGAAAATTCATTTTAAATCCAAACAAATTTCAAGTAATAAATTTAAATTCTGGAGTTGAATAAGTATTTATTTTATATTTACTCAGAGAAGTTCCCCTCAAAACAGCAGCAGCAAAGATTGCAGTAGCAGGCAGTTCTCATCACTGACCCTTTCCTCCTCCTCCTGCTTAGGCCATGTGAGATTGTGTAGCAGGAAGTCAAGACTGGCAGTCATCAAAAAGTTGACATCCTTCATCAACTTGCTCATCAGCCATGCTGGGTGGTTAGTGAAGTTAGCTGCTGCATTGACCTGTAATTAATGTCCATTGAGCACCAAAATTATAATGTGCTGCCTAGACTACACGCATAAATAATCAGTGATCAAATTGCAACATTTAAATGAGAATACTAATTTGTGATGTGATTTCATTTTGTCAATGCAGCAGCCAATCAAATTTGCAATTACATCAGTTAATCTCAATTATATTGGCCGTTAAATGAGACGACACTTACTTGGAAACTGTTGAAGACTCACTCTCAATGATTGAGCAAGCAGGATTAACTTGAATCATCTGTCCATCTCCTTATGCAATTGCAAGCCAGACGGAAATCATCATCATTGCAAATAATTAAGAAACGAAACGATTGAACCTTTAAATGTAGCACATTTTATATCAGTGAAATAACATAGTTGTGTGCTATTCCACATTATGTCAGTGCACCTGTATTAAAATCTTTTGAATACACCTCAGTTATACATGCATGCACAACTTATGACATTTAATGTTTCTGATGTTATTGACTGTCAATCATTAACTTGTCTATTTTATGTGAGTTTAATACACATTGTTCAAACAAATACATTCATATATATATATATATATATATATATATATATATGTGTGTGTGTGTGTGTGTGTGTATGTATGTATAAGAGCTGTTGTTAGGCGAAGGACTCATTTACTGAAAAATAATAAGATATTTTAATAGTTCTAACAATAATTCAAACGAATAAAACATGAATTGTATTCAAAAATAGTACTGGTGTAGATGATAATAAGAATTTGATGTCATGTAACAAAGTTTAGAGTATCTACAGCAGAAGGACAACGTGCTGGATGACGTTCAAGAGTGCTCCGACACCCTCCTAGTCTATCTCTTCAACATCCTCATCGAAAATTTCGTTGATTCTTGCTACAACAACAACAGCAAATCATCTTCAACTGTGAAAAAAAGTAGCAACAGGAATGTTTCATTCGATGCCACTGACCAGATAGGTGCACTGTATATTTATTTCTATTCAAACCTTCAATAACTTGCTTCATAAACAGTTTGAAATAAATTCAATCGTGACAATATTCTTGTTTTAATTTGCAGTTTTTGATGAATTGTGTTACGAGTTGGCACTCAGTACGTTAACATGCATGGAAACGTCTTTGAAATTAGTCACATACCTCAAAGACGAAGGTGCCCTGGTGAGCACTTTTCATCAATTTCTACACTACCACTTATTCTTATCCATTCAGTTAATTTACGTCATTGCCAATTTGCATACATGAATACGCACATCTTTTTTAAAAATTAGGACATGAAATTATAATATGCTAATGATGCATGCATGAATACTCAACAGGTCAACGATGCCACTGTACATAAACTATTGGAGGTGTTGAGTCAATATCATCCAGTCACTGCCTTCAGAAAAGTTAAAAAAGCGAAATTTAACGAAAGCAAAGAGAAGGTTGGTTGGATGATGGAAGTTTTGAAAGAATTGTACCGACGTGCTGAAAGTTTATCAATCAATATTAATTACGAGCCATGAACAAACTGACGTATTGGGTAATTAACCTTATTGTGATTGGATTTAAAAACTAAGCTCTTGAAACATATTATCATGTTAACGGCAGGATGTAAGCCAGACCATTAACATGAAGATGGCCAAGGTACTCGACAACCTGAGACTCTACAGCAGAGGCACCAACCTTAATGATAGCTACTGCTCTGATGTCAAGCATAACAACTCAACTTGTAGAAAATTTAAAAATAAAAAAATAACTTGAACAAACGTTGTTTAAATGTTCAAATCTATTTTAAATGAGAGTTGCATGGAGATCATACACTTGTATACATTAAATATTTTGAAGACTGTTATTAAATATAGCAGGAATGTAGCATATTGACGTATAAAATACACGGATATCAATGCAAGACATGCAAATAATGTAAAGGTAAGTAAATGCTCGAAGGAGTGTAGCCACAAAGTTTAATACTTGTAGATACAAAATCGTTCTCAGTTATCTTATTCCTAGATGTTAATGGACATTACTGTACATGATTACATATGTTTCATAATGATTTTTAAAATAAATTTCCAAAGTGACTTGCATGCATAAAAAACAAACAGTTTAACAAAGTAAAGTTTATGATATGTTGTCAGTCAGCTGGCGGTACACGAAGTGTTCAATGAACGGTTGAACATATAGTTAACACATTTTGACATGATTCTTTGATATAAATGTAACACGTATAAACGCAAGGGTAGTGAAAAAAATATAAAAATGTCACTATTGAAATGATGAAAAGAAGAGAAGACGATTCGAGATGATGATGCCTGAAAAATATCAACAAAAATGAACGCTTCAAATAATTAAATGCACTCTAACTTCGCTAATTTTTAACAAAATGTAAAAATATGTTTATGTACATGAGAATTAACGACCGATAGCCAGCCAACCTCTCATTCATCCACTCAGTCTCCTCCACTATTCATTCGTTTTAAATGTGTTTTTCATTGCATTCATCCAACTCATCATCCATCCACTTAAACTTCAAATCCCATGGAGACATTTGATGGTGTTCTACGAACGATCACATAATCAACATTATTGTTGATGTTGTTGGCATCATCGTCACCACCGTCGTTCTTGTATCTCGGTCTTCCTGAATCGCTGTTCTGCCTCCTGACACTTTGCTGATGTTGTTGGTGGTTGTATTGTTGACGTTGTTGCAAGACACTGTTGTTGTTGTTAGTGTCACCTGATGCAACCTGTTTGAAATGTATTCATACAACGTCAGTATTATGACTGATTACAATGACATTGTACGTGAACTACAAATACAAATGTTTACACATCAGTGACAATATACTAAGATGAACGCAATATTATTGTCAGTAGACTACACTAAGATGGCTTTATGGACATTATTTGTTGAAAATTTCATGAATGATTGATGTGTTTAATTATGTTGAGAATGTATAAGTAGAATTGAATAATGAATAACATTGTATGGAGGAACATTATATTTCGCATCCATCTGCATATTCATAGGTTCTTGCTCAGCATAATTAGTAGGTTGCTGCTGATAGTGGGAGGTCCTAGAATATGTTAATTAATTTTATTAACTGAAGATTCGGAATAAATTATGATATGGTGATGCTATGTTTATTGGGTAAAGATTAACTAGCCTGTTATCCAATGCCTGTGATGATATCGATCTCCTGGTCTTGTACGGTATTTGATGAGCTAGATAGGGAGGTGGAGCTTCACCATCAGGCAAGAAATTTGATTGGCTGCCATCATTGCATACTATGCTTCGATTGGGTGGCAGGTTTTCATTTCTTTCCCTAGATGGTTGGTAGCAAAAGCGGGACGAAATTGAAGCACAATCATTGATATCTCTTCCATCGATATTATATTACAATCCATAATCACAATTATCATTGTCATCATCACTATTATCAACATCATCAACATTTGCAACCTGCATGAAGAAGCAGCCCTTCTGCTCAGCCTGATTCTATTTTTAGTCCTCGGGGAATATCGAACTCTTGCTCCATCTGTATCAGTTCTGTGTGGAGGTTCATTAATTTTTTATCAATCAATCATTAATTAATTCATTTATTTATTAGCCCAATTAATTTATTCATTAATCAATCGAGCACTAAATGAAATAAAAGTCTTGAACTACACCCACAAAGATGGCAGAAAACAAACCACATCTCACTAACACTAGCAAAACATCACACCATCATAAAAAAAGCCACATAAGCAAGCAAACTAACAGCCAGCCAAACTTACAAGACGACTTCTACTAACTCAACTCTCGTGTATGGGATATCCTTCAACTGGTCATCAGTCATTCCTTCATCGTGTGGATCCACGTACTTAAAGTGGTCGGCAAGCTCGCGTGGCGGGCGCATGCCCGGCGACTTGCTGCGTCTTTCGTCGGTAGGGATTAGGGAATTATGTTAATTAGGAGTTCATGAATTATGTTAATTAGGAATTAGCTTTGAAAATGGAGAATTGTAATTTTTTGTAATGTAATATTGTATAAAGCTCTGAAGATAGAGAAACGCAATAAATAGAAAATTATGTTAATTAGGAATAGTGAATTATGTTAAATAGGAATTAGTGAATTGTGTTAATTAGAGACAGGGAGTTGATGCTAATTAGTGAAAAAATGATGAAGCAGCAACCTCCTACATTTCTTCCTACCAGATTCGTAAAACTCACGAGCTGACTTGTTGTTATCCCTGCCAGATGGATAGAAACAGATTGAAAAATTCATTAACCACGGGAGTTTAAATGCTAAACAATGATTAAAAATAGCAGAGGATGGAAGGTGCAAGTATGCCTCACTCACCCGTCAGCTCTGCAGAGAGTTTCATCGGCCCACCTGATGGTCACATCCTTCTCATTGTTGGTCGTCATGGTTACGTCACTCATGGCATCATCGAGGTCATCGTAGATGTGGCCAGATTGCTGCTGTTGCTGCAGCAACTGATGATGACGAAGATGATGATGGTGGTGATGCCGACGATGACGACGGCGGCGAAAACTCGGTTCGTAATCGAAGCCGTTATCGTCTGTGTAGATGTTCTCGTCCGGATAATAACGAGGCCTCCTCTGCATGCTGCTGTCATGAAGACGCTGACGCAAGTAATCGTCGTCGGGGTGGCGATAGCGTCTGCGACATCGTCTGCTGACGTCGCCAGTAGCTGCGTCCACGTCGTACTCTTCCAGTGGTTCAATTTCAGAATAAAAGGAGAGGTCGTCATAATGACTACGGAACCTGTGTGGCGATAAGCAGTGCTACAATCATCAAGGTCACTCTTCTCTATCATGACAATAATTATAGCTAGTATCGATCATCATCACCACCACCACCACCATCATCATCAACATCATCAGTACCTTCCTCTCCTAGCATCAACAGCCGACATGTACATTGGATTCTTTCTTCTGTATCTGACGCAAGAGCAATTGAAACATGATTTGAATAGAAGAAGTTGCATGCTATCAACAACAGTAGCAATATTTTATAAGTGCAAAGATACGCTGAAATGAAAAAAAGTAGTCTCGAATAAAAAGTACGAAAGTTTATGGCCCCAAACCTTTTACATGCATTCTTGCTGGCTTATAAAGAACGCATTATATCTTGTAATGGTATAACTAAGGGGAAATGTTGATTTGTTGGAGATAATTAGAAAGATGATAATTAAGATAAATGCTCTTTTAAAGACCATCGCCTGATACACTGACCTGACGTGATTTATTAACAAACTGAGCTACTTTCCACATGCTATTTAATGGATGGATTGTAATTCTTTTGCCTTAAGCATTGGATTTTCGTCAAGAATTTAGCAGCAGACTTTTCTTGACAGGCTCCAACATTTAGCCCTTATTACTGCTATTTAATTGGAGAAATGCAAGGCTATGAGTAAATTATTCTACCAAACGAACTTCGGCTCTAAATGTTCAAAAATTTGTGGTGAGGCCAAATAAAAGTTGTAGAGTACATGGGAATATGTGTACTAAACTTCAGGGTCGGTGGAAGTTACAACAACTTATTAAAAATTTTTCTTGTGAATAAAAATCCTAGAACCTAATAATTGGGCCATTTTAGACGAACGATTCCACTTCCACTATCACTTCGGAACTCCTCGCGCCCCACCCTGAGGTTATTCCGGTGACTGTTGCTGACGCTCCCCATCCTATTCCTTTTTCAAATAATAATTATTATTTGTTCTACACTACTTTATAATTTTCATTATAATGTAAATATAAAGTAATAATATATAGATATAATCTTCACAGTAATGGCATACTGCAAAACTCTCTCTCTATCTCCTCTCTCTCTCTCTCATTACCTGCCATCTCTCATCTGCTGCAGAACACGAGCATCCCACCGAATGGATGATGACCTGCAACTCCTCGGTGAGTCTCCAACCACTTCTGCTGCTGCTACCTGGTCATAATCTGCTGGACTGTTGTTGTAATGGTTATCATCATCAGCTTCAACAACAACAAATTAACATCAACCATAACATCAACATCATCATCATCATCGCTGACATCAATTCAACAACAACGCCATAACTAACTCTCTCACAATAGGCGCAATTGTGGCACATGAACTTGGTCTGGCCATCGGTATATCACCTGTGATTGGTCAGAAATATTTGAATCAAGCAATGTGATTGGTTAGAAATATTTGAATTAAGCAATAGAATTGTTATTTAATTGTCACAGAACAAAATATTGAATGCCATTAATTAACCAAAACTTATAAAATGAAATTGACAATCCCTCTGATTGAAACAAATTTTCAACTATACAATGTGACAGCATAAAAATGATGATGCAATTTGTTGAAATTTTGACGAAGCTGGATGATTGAAAGGTAACTGAACTAACGATCATGGAAACTGTTGGACCCAGACTGTCTTCTCTGTCTGAGACCTGCCCTAGTTTTGGTGACCTCATTAAAACGTGACCCACTTACAAGGTCAGGCACCAGTGACCTGTTTAAGAAGTTGCGTAGTGAGCTGTCATCGCTGCAGCAACATTTCTTCTGCTGTCTGATGCTGCTGTTGAGGTGAGGCTGGAGGCAGTTGTGGCAGTCTTTTTTGTCTTTCCTAATGTTGAAAACATGAAAATTACTTCACGGTGAATGAATTCTATCAAAATTTGAACTCCTGAGAAGCAGGTCACCAGCAATGCTAACTTGGAGAATAATTTTGATCCAAACGATAGGAACCTGCTTGAATTCGACGATGCCGAAAAAGATCTGGAATGTTTGTGTTGCTGCTGCTGCTGTTGTTGCTTGAAGTTGGCCAGGGATGTGACAGTCAGCATGGTACTCGACTGAACATTCTCTCTGGCCTGCAGCATGAAGAATGTGTGGTGCTCCAACATGTGAGTCCACAAAAGTTTGGCGTGGTTCTTCGATGGCAGGATGAACGAATTCGTCATCTCATCTCCCTGTTTGTTGGTTGTTTATATTTTCATCCATCATTTGTTTTTACTATAAATTCACTAAACAAAGTGCAACCAGACAGCACACTCACATATCTGTCCCGCACTTTGAAGGCCACAGTCTTGTTCTTGTAGGAGATCTTTGTCAGCCTGGGCCTGAATGAAATCAAACAACATATCAATTTATATTAACTGCACACAAATATTTCACATTTGATTGGGTCAAGTTTTAAGAAAATGAGGTCAGGTCACGTCAGGTCAGGGTTGGGAGTGACTGACCAGCAGTAGACTGCCATCTTGATTTCTTTTTTGAAGAGGTACAAACCAACTGGAGCAATGCCAATGGTGTAGTCCAAGTCATCCTGGCTCTGTATTTTATGGATAGATGGATGTAGGATTTACAATTTGTGTCATTGATGACTAATGTTTAATCTATAAATTATTTTAAAAAACAAACAAGAAAACATTTTTTGAAGCAACAAACAGAAACCAATGTATAACTGTTTGATGATAAAACTCATTAAGAAATAAAATTGAGCATAAGCAAATATCTAACTTTGACGGGGTACATTTGAAGGCCGTATGATTCAACCCACTTCACTTTGTCAAGGAATTGAAATTCGCATTTAGTCGGAGATCTACCCCTAGATAAGTGAAGAATTTTGTTTTTCAGTTACAACAATTTATAAAATAATTTTATCAAACAAACAACTTATTAAATAATTTTTCTAAATGCCAAAACATAAAAAGATAATAAAACATAAAAAAATTGATTAGTTTAATAGTAGGCACATGGAAGGTATAAATGTATTATAACTTGTGGATACAAGTGCCAAACTTCACTATGAATCAAAAATATATCTGGAAGAATATATTATGTTGAAAGCGAATGTATAAAGTTTAAAAGTGGATGTAAATAACAAGACTAACGAAACATTTTTCTGCCACTCTTGGACCTCCTTCCTGTACTCTTCCGAGTCTTCTCTTATAAACAGGAAGTCCATGAATTCATCATCATCTAGTACTTCACTTTGATTGTCGCCATACTCAGCTTTTAAATATTCCATACAGATCATCATATATAGTGATAATAATTTATTTAGAATTGGTATATCTGTGGCAATTTAGCACAAAAGGAATGCTTGCTAACTGAACTTACCTTGTATCGCATAGGCAGACAATTGAATCGCCAGATCTCTTGTTAAATGAATGCCTCCATGCAAAATGTCGCGCTTTATTTGAAGGTAGAATTGATATTTGGCCTCAGGTGTTACCAATTTGCATGGATCGACTGCATAGAATCTCACGCAGAAGAATATGCTGTGGGGTCCAGGACCAGGTAATTGCGAGTTTAGTGATTTGGAAAGATTTAGCCACCTCTATGAAATGTACCATTTCAAGAAAAGTGAATTTTAGTAAAAAAAATTAGACAGATAAAAAATTTAAATGAAAAGAATATAACTAATGAAAAACAACTAACCAGATTGCAGACCGAATCCGAGTACCTCAATCCAAAATATTCCCTCTCAACAAGATCTATCTTGCCACAAATAATGTTCATTAAATTTTCCGCTTTCTCAGTCAGCTACATTTTGTAATTTAGTACATCACTTTTATTTTATATAATTTATATAAAATTTATAAAATATTTTTGTAACTTAACAAAAGTGATTTAAGTGTCATTTATTTTATTGTATTTTAATAATTTAAAATTCAATTAATTTATTGTTATTCAATTTAACAATTTAATTAATTTATAAATTATATTTATTTCATTTAAATTAATTTTATTTTAAAATTAATTAAAAAAGAATCAATTAATTATTAACTCCAATGCTAATCTCTAATGAAAGCTAATCTAATCTCTAGTGCTAGTCTAGTGTCTAGTAGTAGTCTAAAAAATGGCAATGCCTTTCATCATGAATGAATGAATGACGTCTGCAAATTGGAAATGATTTTGAGAAATAATTAACCTTGAAATTCAAAAACAGATCTGAATTGTCAAGCATGATGACCCTGCAAGTGTGGTTCAGCACATCCTCCACCGGACAGCTGCCGGATTTTGGGTCCGCTCTTTTCTTGTTGAAAACTTTCGGAATAATTTTCGATAAAGCGACAAGCATTTTAAATGTTTCTTAACGCATAAAATCAAACAAATCTAATTTATTTTCAAGAAAAAAAAACATAAAAATATTGAATAGCTCGAATTTGACGCAAATAATTTTCGAACATTTAATTTTAAAAAATCAAATCCCGCGCAAGTCAAACGTAAACCAACGTAAATTAAAAATTTATATCGAATCAAACATTTATTGTTCTTTGTTTTTTAATATATTCAAATACACATAACTAGAATAATAGAACTATTTGACATGCTTGGATTATTAGCTTACGAAATTGCATGGATTTTAAAGATGAAGCTATATGAAATAGTTACTTAATATGCTTAAAACATTGTGTTAATTCTATTTAATTTTATTTCCTAAAATTATGATTTTATTAAATAAAATTATGTATTATTAAATTATTGTTGTTAATTTAAATATAAAAATTGCTTTTGGTCCTGTGAAATCCGGTGGCTTACTTAGTAGGATTGAGCTATAGTCACCCTTTTTTACACTATTCGATCATGTTAAAAATTTGTTTGCTTATGAAATAAACGGCCTAAATAAATCAAAATTGTTATTTGAACAACTAGCTTCATTATATTCTATGAATATTTTACATTCTGCTGGTGCTCAGAGAAATTGGATGCTGAAATTTTTTTTTTTTTTTATTCTTTAAAAATCAGAATCTGACAGACGCAGAAACTGTAACAACATGCAAGGCAGTAAAACAAAATTAAACAAATAAGTGAGAAAATAAATACAAAAAGTGAGGAAGAGAAATGATAAAACATGAAAAATAAAATATGTTAGAATGAAATAAATAATACTAATAAGACAAATAAAAGAAAAGTAATTGACGATGGAATATAAAATAAAGTAACGGCAAATTGATAGACTAGCAGATGACTTAGTGGGTTAGTGAGGTGATCGATAGATAAAGGCTAGGCCTGTGTGTGAAAAAGTTTAATGAGTATTAATATATTTGATGACTTATTAATAGACTAAATAATGACTTAGTGAGTTAGTGAAGTGATCGATGAAAGTGAGGTGATCAATAAGTAAAAGCTAGTTCAGTAATGATGAAGTGAGGAAGAGAAATGATAAAACATGAAAAATAAAATATGTTAGAATGAAATAAATAATACTAATAAGACAAATAAAAGAAAAGTAATTGACGATGGAATATAAAATGAAGTAACGGCAAATTGATAGACTAGATGATGACTTAGTGGGTTAGTGAGGTGATCGATAGATAAAGGCTAGGCCTGTGTGTGAAAAAGTTTAATGAGTATTAATATATTTGATGACTTATTAATAGACTAAATAATGACTTAGTGAGTTAGTGAAGTGATCGATGAAAGTGAGGTGATCAATAAGTAAAAGCTAGTTCAGTAATGATGAAGTTTTCTTAAGTGCTAATATGTTTGAGGTGTCTTGTGATGAAGGTCTTTTCCTGGTATGTAGATTGGGCGACGACTTGATATGTATGTTTGCGCTGACGAAGGTTGTGTGTTGTAGTTTTGATTGGTGGTAGTAGAGGATGGATGACGTGGTTGTTGTTATTTTCTATTTTCATGAACAGCCTTGAATCGAGTGTGTTGAATATCTGAGTGATGGTAGGATATGATGCAGGTAGGTAGTTGAAGCGATTTAATTTTTTGATGAGAGATTGTAGCTACTGAAACTGTTGTTGCGTGGCAAAACCAGACCAGGAGGGAGCTGCATATTTGATGCGTGAGATGATGAGTGATTCGGTGATGTCGAATAATTTGACGCCTCTGAGACCATGTGAACGGAGTGTTTTGAGTGCATGAAATGTTTGAAAACCTTTTGTGATGATGTAATTGATATGAGGTGCTATATTGAGTGTGGAGGTGAATGTGATGCCTAATATTTTTAGTTGATTTGTGCGAGTGATTGATGGGTGTTCAGGAGGTAATGTTATTTTTTTACGGCTATTGTGAATGATGAGTTCAAATGATTTATTGAGATTAAGTGAAAGATTGCATCGTTTTGACCATGTAGTTAATGAGTCGAGTTCTGATTGGATGGTGTTTGAGCTAGATGATGGGATGATAAGGTAGGTGTCGTCAGCGTATTTGATGATTTGATTTGAGCTATGGAAAGTTTTGAGAGTAGAAGCATTGATGATGAAGGTAGATGGACCAAGGACAGAACCTTGAACTACGCTAGTTAATAGGTAGATTAGATGAAAGAGTAGAGCTAAAAAGAGTAGAATGACTCCTATTAGAAAGGAAATTAATTATGATATTGTAAATGTTGTCAGGTAATGGAAGAGAGGCTAACTTATTTGAAATCATACGTTGGCTTACTGCAGTGGCTTACTGAATCTCAAACAACTGTGTCATGGCGGTTTTCTGTACATATAATGCTTTAAATAAATTAATATATTCATTTCACAATTATTTTTGTCAATATAAATAAAGAAATTGCTTTTATCTTGTGAAATACAGTGGCCAAGTAAAGCCGTATTTTAGCTTAATCGGATTTTTTTCATATATACAATACTATGAGATCAGTCAGTCAGTCAGTCAGTCAGTCAGTCAGTCAGTCAGTCAGTCAGTCAGTCAGTCAGTCAGTCAGTCAGTCAGTCAGTCAGTCAGTCAGTCAGTCAGTCAGTCAGTCAGTCAGTCAGTCAGTCAGTCAGTCAGTCAGTCAGTCAGTCAGTCAGTCAGTCAGTCAGTCAGTCAGTCAGTCAGTCAGGTCAGTCAGTCAGTCAGTCAATTAATCAATCAACCAACCATTCATTCAATCAACTAATCAACCAACCAATCGACCAATCAATGAACCATATTTGAAAAATATTTGCAAGGCTTGTTCAAACTCGAACAAACACTTAACTGTACGGATCTACAAACAATATCGAGATTTTAGTAAAGAAAGAAAAACACAATAGTTGCTTTTATTAAATCAAGAAATATCCAAAAATTATATAACCAAATTAAAAAAACTAGAAACCAGTCAACATTTAATAAATAAATAGACATTATTAAAAAGATTGTTCAAAAAGGTAAAATTTAAGGCGACGACGAGAATAAAATGTAGTTTGTTTTGTTGGTGTGGTGCTGTGAAGCGAAAACAAACAAACACATCACAAAAAATTAGTAAGAAGTCGCAAGAATAGTAGTCAGTCACCTACCTACAATTAAATTACTCTCAGGGCCCTAGCTTATAATCATTAACTCAACTCACCTACCTACAAATATGAATTTCTACGTTTTTGGAATTTTACATGTTTCAGGTATTTTATTTTACATATTTCAGCGTTTTTATTTTACTTGAAACTTTTTAACTAATGTTAAGCCCTAGCCTACCTACGATAGTTCAACTCATCTCAATCCCTAACTTACCTATGAATTAAATTAAGTCCGGTAAAGAAAATAGAAAGTTGAAGAGAAACATAACAACAACGACACCGAATGAATGGATGTTGTGTATGTGTGTGTTGTATTGAAGTGTGTGTGTGTGAATGTGCGCGCGTGTACTCTCCAGAAACCTCCAGAAACTTCATCATGAGACCCCCATCTGAAACGTGCTGACGCCCACCACAGCCCACCTCTCATCGTTCTGTAGACAAGTTTTTTTTTATTAGCGTAGTAGTAAATCAAGGAACAAATGAACGAACGAATAAATGATTAACTGAATGAATAAATAATTAGTTAAAAGAATGAATGAATGAATAGAATGAATTAACGTCAAATAATAGAAAAATAATTTGAAAGATTGAGTGAAAAAATGAATGAATGAGAAAAATGAAAAAAATTAAACTAAACCTTATTTCAAAAATCGTCGTTACTGTAATCCATCGTACCGACCACCACATTCAGGTCGGCACACATGATTTCATCCGAACTTCTGATTGTCAGTCGAACAGCCAACGCGCTGATTCTTCCTACACCACCATCATCATACGTAAATCATCATGAGACCACCATCTGAAACGTGCTGACTCCCACCACTGCCCACCTCTCATCATCCTGTAGACAATTTTTTTTTATTAGCGTAGTAGTAAATGAATGTTAGAATTTTAGAAGCGAAAAAGTATAAAGTTAAAATAATGGCAAA